CCCCCCCCCCGGCGATGTCAGGAATCTGTAGTGATTGGCATCCTTACCTCTCAGGGATGGCTGTGTGTGCTGATAGTCAATCGTATTCTCTTCTCGTCAGAGCCGACAGGTCCCCATGAAGGCTTTATGCGCAGCTTTTGTCTTGATGCACCTGGCAGCGTATTTGGTTTAATAAAGTTTTATGGTCTTATACAATCCTCAGGAGATTCAGGTGGGTCACCTGACAAGTAGGGATGAGCTTCGGGTTCAGTTTGACTTCATCCCATGCCGCTCACAGTTCACCTAATGCATTTGGCCAGTTTGCCCGTCTGCCGCACCTCCGTCTGTGTCCTACCAACCAATGTACCCGTGTGACCCGCACAGTGCCATTGGGTGACTGGTGGCTGCACGGTGCCATTGGGTGACTGGTGGCTGCACGGTGCCATTGGGTGACTGGTGGTTGCACGGTGCCATTGGGTGACTGGTGGCTGCACCGTGCCATTGGGTGACTGGTGGCTGCACCGTGCCATTGGGTGACTGGTGGCTGCACGGTGCCATTGGGTGACTGGTGGCTGCACGGTGCCATTGGGTGACTGGTGGCTGCACGGTGCCATTGGGTGACTGGTGGCTGCACGGTGCCATTGGGTGACTGGTGGCTGCACGGTGCCATTGGGTGACTGGTGGCTGCACGGTGCCATTGGGTGACTGGTGGCTGCACGGTGCCATTGGGTGACTGGTGGCTGCACGGTGCCATTGGGTGACTGGTGGCTGCACGGTGCCATTGGGTGACTGGTGGCTGCACGGTGCCATTGGGTGACTGGTGGCTGCACGGTGCCATTGGGTGACTGGTGGCTGCACGGTGCCATTGGGTGACTGGTGGCTGCACGGTGCCATTGGGTGACTGGTGGCTGCACGGTGCCATTGGGTGACTGGTGGCTGCACGGTGCCATTGGGTGACTGGTGGCTGCACGGTGCCATTGGGTGACTGGTGGCTGCACGGTGCCATTGGGTGACTGGTGGCTGCACGGTGCCATTGGGTGACTGGTGGCTGCACGGTGCCATTGGGTGACTGGTGGCTGCACGGTGCCATTGGGTGACTGGTGGCTGCACGGTGCCATTGGGTGACTGGTGGCTGCACGGTGCCATTGGGTGACTGGTGGCTGCACGGTGCCATTGGGTGACTGGTGGCTGCACGGTGCCATTGGGTGACTGGTGGCTGCACGGTGCCATTGGGTGACTGGTGGCTGCACGGTGCCATTGGGTGACTGGTGGCTGCACGGTGCCATTGGGTGACTGGTGGCTGCACGGTGCCATTGGGTGACTGGTGGCTGCACGGTGCCATTGGGTGACTGGTGGCTGCACGGTGCCATTGGGTGACTGGTGGCTGCACGGTGCCATTGGGTGACTGGTGGCTGCACGGTGCCATTGGGTGACTGGTGGCTGCACGGTGCCATTGGGTGACTGGTGGCTGCACGGTGCCATTGGGTGACTGGTGGCTGCACGGTGCCATTGGGTGACTGGTGGCTGCACGGTGCCATTGGGTGACTGGTGGCTGCACGGTGCCATTGGGTGACTGGTGGCTGCACGGTGCCATTGGGTGACTGGTGGCTGCACGGTGCCATTGGGTGACTGGTGGCTGCACGGTGCCATTGGGTGACTGGTGGCTGCACGGTGCCATTGGGTGACTGGTGGCTGCACGGTGCCATTGGGTGACTGGTGGCTGCACGGTGCCATTGGGTGACTGGTGGCTGCACGGTGCCATTGGGTGACTGGTGGCTGCACGGTGCCATTGGGTGACTGGTGGCTGCACGGTGCCATTGGGTGACTGGTGGCTGCACGGTGCCATTGGGTGACTGGTGGCTGCACGGTGCCATTGGGTGACTGGTGGCTGCACGGTGCCATTGGGTGACTGGTGGCTGCACGGTGCCATTGGGTGACTGGTGGCTGCACGGTGCCATTGGGTGACTGGTGGCTGCACGGTGCCATTGGGTGACTGGTGGCTGCACGGTGCCATTGGGTGACTGGTGGCTGCACGGTGCCATTGGGTGACTGGTGGCTGCACGGTGCCATTGGGTGACTGGTGGCTGCACGGTGCCATTGGGTGACTGGTGGCTGCACGGTGCCATTGGGTGACTGGTGGCTGCACGGTGCCATTGGGTGACTGGTGGCTGCACGGTGCCATTGGGTGACTGGTGGCTGCACGGTGCCATTGGGTGACTGGTGGCTGCACGGTGCCATTGGGTGACTGGTGGCTGCACGGTGCCATTGGGTGACTGGTGGCTGCACGGTGCCATTGGGTGACTGGTGGCTGCACGGTGCCATTGGGTGACTGGTGGCTGCACGGTGCCATTGGGTGACTGGTGGCTGCACGGTGCCATTGGGTGACTGGTGGCTGCACGGTGCCATTGGGTGACTGGTGGCTGCACGGTGCCATTGGGTGACTGGTGGCTGCACGGTGCCATTGGGTGACTGGTGGCTGCACGGTGCCATTGGGTGACTGGTGGCTGCACGGTGCCATTGGGTGACTGGTGGCTGCACGGTGCCATTGGGTGACTGGTGGCTGCACGGTGCCATTGGGTGACTGGTGGCTGCACGGTGCCATTGGGTGACTGGTGGCTGCACGGTGCCATTGGGTGACTGGTGGCTGCACGGTGCCATTGGGTGACTGGTGGCTGCACGGTGCCATTGGGTGACTGGTGGCTGCACGGTGCCATTGGGTGACTGGTGGCTGCACGGTGCCATTGGGTGACTGGTGGCTGCACGGTGCCATTGGGTGACTGGTGGCTGCACGGTGCCATTGGGTGACTGGTGGCTGCACGGTGCCATTGGGTGACTGGTGGCTGCACGGTGCCATTGGGTGACTGGTGGCTGCACGGTGCCATTGGGTGACTGGTGGCTGCACGGTGCCATTGGGTGACTGGTGGCTGCACGGTGCCATTGGGTGACTGGTGGCTGCACGGTGCCATTGGGTGACTGGTGGCTGCACGGTGCCATTGGGTGACTGGTGGCTGCACGGTGCCATTGGGTGACTGGTGGCTGCACGGTGCCATTGGGTGACTGGTGGCTGCACGGTGCCATTGGGTGACTGGTGGCTGCACGGTGCCATTGGGTGACTGGTGGCTGCACGGTGCCATTGGGTGACTGGTGGCTGCACGGTGCCATTGGGTGACTGGTGGCTGCACGGTGCCATTGGGTGACTGGTGGCTGCACGGTGCCATTGGGTGACTGGTGGCTGCACGGTGCCATTGGGTGACTGGTGGCTGCACGGTGCCATTGGGTGACTGGTGGCTGCACGGTGCCATTGGGTGACTGGTGGCTGCACGGTGCCATTGGGTGACTGGTGGCTGCACGGTGCCATTGGGTGACTGGTGGCTGCACGGTGCCATTGGGTGACTGGTGGCTGCACGGTGCCATTGGGTGACTGGTGGCTGCACGGTGCCATTGGGTGACTGGTGGCTGCACGGTGCCATTGGGTGACTGGTGGCTGCACGGTGCCATTGGGTGACTGGTGGCTGCACGGTGCCATTGGGTGACTGGTGGCTGCACGGTGCCATTGGGTGACTGGTGGCTGCACGGTGCCATTGGGTGACTGGTGGCTGCACGGTGCCATTGGGTGACTGGTGGCTGCACGGTGCCATTGGGTGACTGGTGGCTGCACGGTGCCATTGGGTGACTGGTGGCTGCACGGTGCCATTGGGTGACTGGTGGCTGCACGGTGCCATTGGGTGACTGGTGGCTGCACGGTGCCATTGGGTGACTGGTGGCTGCACGGTGCCATTGGGTGACTGGTGGCTGCACGGTGCCATTGGGTGA